TGATACCGAGATTGGTAGTTGAATTTTCTCCTTAAAACCCTCTTGCAATGAAGCATGCTATGCTCAAATGCCCTCGATGCAGATCTACTATTTTTGCTTCATTTTTCCCCATTTTGGCAGGACGAAGTCCGGGCCAATAGCATGCGCTGGCTTGGCCTGGTGCCGGGCTGCCAACCGACCAGCCTGCCAGTCGGCCAGCCGGTCAGCCAGTCAGCCAACCAGCCACATGTAACACAGTCGGATCCAACCTGAGCCGAGTAGACTGCTTTCACTTTTAGCCCCGAAGACGACGGCCAAATATATCGCAATTCAACCCAAACTGAGCTCGACAATCGTTCAGTATCATATTCTCGGTTGCCATGTCTGTTGTTTGGTCGTCTGTCTGCATGCTCGCAGGGATGCGTCGTCTCGCTTCTGGCCCCAGCTACCGGACTTAGTTGTCGGCTGGTGAGTTGGTTGCTCGGCCACGTGGCCGATTGGACTGTAGGCCGGCCAAAACGGGTACAGAGGGACGGGAGAGAGGTACAAGATGAGGCATCGATCGAGGCGACTCTCAGACTTTCGCCAGAAGGAGTCTACAGCCTCTGAGCAAGCCGGCGGGAAGCCAGGCCGGGAGAGAAAGAGGCAATTGGGGAGGTCCGAGAGGCAGAGACCTTGGGCCGGATGGTCAGGTGCAGGGACAGACCTGGTATGACCGGGCAGGGGTAATGCCCGGTTCATGACAGAATCGATTGCTCAGTCGAGATGCCAAGCAGCCAAAGTCTCACGTGAAGCGGTGATCTTCGCCCAAAAGTATTCATTTTATTTGTGCACCAACCAACTCTAGCCTGGGATTGTACTCGGCACACATCTCCCATCTCTGGTGTTATTGCATCAACCGCGTAAGTGCACTGCTACCCTTTTGAAGTTGTGTGTGTGTGTGTGTGTGTGTGTTTATGCCCGACATCCTGTTGGACAAAGGTCGCCTGTACCCCACGACTCGACGACCGAGTTCGAGGGTTCACACCGACTCAAGAGGAGGCGTCTCGGCGCTGGCAACAGGTTGGGGAGATTAGAGCCAAGCCCGATCATCCAGGCCTGTCTGCCGTTTGGTACGACCCTGACTGGACCATAAATGTTCATTTCCAAACTGACAGAGGTCATAGTCGTTGTGAGCGGGTTTTGAGAGCCTAGACAAGATCTTAATTTGGCGATGTAGGGACCGATGGGTGAATTTAGCACAATTTCACATGTGATTGCAGCCTTGAATCGCATACAATTTAATCATCCCGTCCGGACAGAACTACATTTTCGACCTCGCCTATCCACGCGATTCGAAACTGGAGCTTGCAACTCATCATCGCACCTACCAAAAAAGGCCGAAAGTGTATTCGAGAGTTGCGGGAACTTCAGCCATCAACCGATTATTCGACATTCCATTTAGAAGGGATGTGTCTGTTGACCTCCTCGAAACCCGGAAAAGCATCGCATTCGAAGTAAAACTTTTGGGCTGTGCTTACCCTCCCACAACGCCAAACAACCCTAGCTGAGTGTTCCTCTGTCATGCGATAGACATCGTCAGAACAAAAAACCATACTTAACACAAAACTGCATCAACAACCTAAACCCAAATGAAAAAGTTCTCAATAAAGCATGGCTTCTGAGTCTGCCGATGTCTGTTGAGGCACGAGAGATGAAAGGCCACCACGGATTGTTTGGCGACTCGATTCGGTGAGACGAGGACTTCTTCGCACAATCCAACAATCCTTAATAGGCTTCCGGTGATGCCATTTTCTCCTTCGAAATGCCAAGTAAAATCAAACCAAATTCAACCATCGGTCCCTGCATCAGAGTCCACAAGATGGGCTGATCAATGTTGTGATAGAAGCCATAACCAGCACATTTTCGCTGCGATTGTGTCAACTTGGCTCGGCCGGAACTGATCAGCCCCTGCCTCACCAATTGCTCCCGCCTTGTTCACCCACATTCCGGGAAGCATAGATAAAAACATTTTTTCGCTCAATTCACACGTTGACAGCTGACCAAAGTTGAGTAAAACCTGAGGCTAGAGGTGGGGTAACTTGGAGGTTTTACCGATCCGAAAGTGTCGCTGCATGATTGGTGTTTTGGAGATGCATGTAGGCATGGCCAATGCATGTGAATCAGCCTTAAATCTCGATTGTGACTGTACACTCTCAGCATTTCGGCTGCTCATTCGTTGAGGACGCCCCACAATTTAGATTCCATTCTGTTGGCTCAGGCTTTCCAGACAATTGGTGGCATGAATCAAAAAAGTCCAAAACACCCCGAACACTTAGCTCGAAAATACGGCATCACAACCTGGCCATTAAAAAGCCTATTTACCAAACATATTTCCTATAAAGGGAAAACTAGCTAGGCTTATGGATTCTGGCATTGGTTGGGCAACAAACAAAAGTTCATTATCGAAAATGTGAATGAACGTGCTCATTTTTCGCCCATATTAAGACAGTCCTCCTCAGAGCAGGGTGCCATTCTTACAGCAACCTTTGACTCATTCGTGTTGTAATTAAATTCTAAAGCTTTGAATATTTGTGGAGTATAGTGAATTGTTGATTAAATTATAATATGTAATCATAGCAACGTGTGCATATGTATGCTTGTGTATGGGTATCTGCATCGCTGTGTACGTAAAAGTACTAAAGTCTTCGAGGCCTAAGAACCATTTTTAACCTTTACTCTGATTACGCAATCCTGGGCACATGTTTAATTGGGAAAATGAGCTACTTTGCTTGAATGTAATCATATTTAAATTGTGACTGCATTTGCAATCAACCAGAATAATTAGTTGACTATCCTCTTCTTTCCAGGCGGTTATATGCCCTCTCTACTCCTAATTATAACAGTTTACACTGAGTTATACTTAACTAGCTTCCATTACGTACTCTGGCCGGTTAATTTGTATTCTAATTTGTTGATTTGGATGACTTTCCTAATTTCGAACTTGGCTGCGGACCGACAAAACGACAAGTTTGAGACGGTGCAATCTCAGGTCCAATTTATACCATGTGCTTGGCTACCTTTTGTCACGGAACCCAACAGACTTTAAGTACACTTTTGTGTTTGCCACCTTTTGGAATATGGGGTGACAGAAATCTTACATATCAAAGCGAGCACATGAATGGATTAGTTTAAAACAGTCTAATCTGGACAGTTGGCAAATGAGGAAAGTGTCATAATTCTCTCGAAACCATTTGGATCAACGCTTTGTGATCCGATCCTGTTAAAAAGCCTGTTAGAGCAGCCAGAACATGAGAAAAAGTCTCCTCTTCCTCACTTCCTGCAAATATTCAACATCCGAATTTTTATTATTCATTGATCTTATGGCCCCTTTAAATGAGTCGAGAAGATAATTTGTATTTAGTTCTTTTTGCTCTAGTCCATTCAGCTTATTATCCTAATGGTCTCTATTCTATATTCACCCATTCATTATATTCATTGATTTTATAATGTTAACCGTCATTTAGCCCGGAGAAGAAGGTAAGAATAAAATCAGGATATGCCGATTTTATACAATTATTCCCGCCTTATTAACTCCCCATTCCTGCAAACACTAACAACCAAAAAGGCGGACTAATCATACTTAACTACTTCCATCACTAACTTAATTTTACTTTCCCTACAGTTAAATATGAATACACCAAGATTCCCTGAACTGGAATATTGATATACATTATTTTATAATATTATCGCCACCTACGACAAACCCCAGATGGTATGTAAAAATAATCAGTTTATATAAAATTTTTGGGACACAACAAACATAAGGAAAATTCGATGTATAGTGTTAGTAAGCTTGCTTTTTGTGCAATTTTTTATGTTGATATCCTGTTTACTTATGCGTCATTTTCAGGCTCTTTGTCAGACTAAACTTTATGAAAACAAAGTCTTTCAGCACTTAAAATGAAATCGGTTGAACACAACTCACATAACTGATTTACTGGTATTTTTCGAATTGAGTATTGTTTTTCGTGTCTACCAGTAAATCAGTAATATGAGATGTATTCACCCAATTTAGTTTAAGGTGATGAAGGACTGGTAGAAG